GCTCGGAGGTTTCTCAGCTGTCTGGTCTCGGCTTTCCTGCACTTTGGCTGTCCTCTTCTTCCACTGATCCTGTGAAATGCTTCAGTATTTGTCCAGTAAATCCCCTTGTCACTCTTTTTGTTTGTTTAAATTATCCAGAATCCATTTATGTTACTTAGAATAAAAAAGGCGCTTATTCCCACTTTTTTTTTTGTTGAAGCTATCCAGAATTCATTTATGTAACTTAGAATAAAAAAAGAAAAAGAAAAAGCTTAGTTAATGTACCATCTGAATGAAATGGATTCATTCACATTACAAGGAACAGAATGTCTGAATACAGCACAATTATATGTGTGGAATATTTTCATACATTAATGTGTGGAGAGTTTCCTTTCTTCTGGTTACTTTCCTACTTTCTTCTGGTTACTTTCCTACATTCAACCCATCATTGTTGAATACTACTACATGCCTATGCTGTGACAAATGCTGAACACCCAGTGATAAGAAAAATAGAGAGGGTCCTTGCCCTCGGAGAAATTGTAATTTTATACAGATTCTAAATATCATATAATGATATTGGCCATTGTATTAGAGTAGATATGAATATCAAAAAGGATAGAAATATATTGCTTCAGAAGGTAAAACACCAGACAACTTTATTAAAATGAGATGGTGAGGGTGGAAAATGAACTTATCTTGAGTGTAGTGAAATGGAGATGAGAGTTGGTAGTCACTCTTGAAAGGACAACTTCCAGAATTCTGATTAGCAAAATGGAAGGAGAAATCCTACATTCAAAAAGACATTAGTCACTATCTGATTAATAATTAAGTTGAAATTGGTATTGCTTAATATTCACTATCAGGACAATATGTAAACTAGAACATCCACTTCATTATAACAGTAAAGCTCCCTCAGGCTTCATGAACTAGAATTGGGGTAGATGTCTGTCCTTCCTAAGCCAGGTCATGGTAGGGTCAAAGGTTGTTTGGAGAATGAGTTAGAGACTAAAATTTTGATTCCTCACCATTAGACTAGAGAAAGGTCCAAGTCTTCTAAAGCACATGGCTGTTTTATGAGTAAGGAAGATGGTAACTACTGATAATATGGGAAGCAGATAGATTAAGTTATCTAGACAAGAACAGAATCCATGGGGCAGACATTTGTAAAGCATTCTACGGAGAACTAAAAGAGAGCAATTAAGGCTGTTCAGGTAGACAACTCTTTTGAGTTTTTCCTACAGCACCTAGAAGTGAGTGGGTAGCTGGGGAGAGATGTATGGGCCAAGAGAGACTTTTCTGTGTAGAAATATGTATATACATATTTAAAATTGGAGAAATTACTGCATGTATAATGTTGACGAGTATAAGCCTATAAAAAAGCAAAAAATGAGGGGCAGAAGAGAAAAAAAAGTTGAAATGTGTTGTTGATTAGGAGAGAAGTGCTATACATGAATGCACAGGTGGAGAGACTGGTCTCAGAAGGAAGATCATTCATTCATCCACAGTAATAGCAGACAAAAAGTCAGTGGGTTCAGATGCAAGTAGATGAGTAATGGAGGTGGTGACTATTGTGAATTCTCTTCTGATTGCTTATTTGGAACCCTAATATATAAATCAGATTAAAGTAAGAAATAGATTTCTCAGCCAGATTAAGTTATTTGGTTGAGATTTTTTCATTGTTTGCTTCCCTGTGAATGATTTCCATGATGTCTTGATTCTAAGTAGTCTGATTATTAGTATAGTTAGTTTATTGTTCTAGAACTATATTCATGAATAGATCAGTGGAATCAGTGCCAGCATACAAGGACCTGGCATTGCAGATTGAATACAATTCAGATTCCTCACTAGAGACTACAGGTTCTTACATAATCTGATCTCTGTTTCCTTCTCTAAATTTATAGACTATTATTTTTCCCCTTGTATACTCTACTTCAGCTAAATTGTCTTTCTTTCTTTTCTGCCAGTAAATCAGATTCTTTCCAATTTTAGAAACATTGCACTTACCATTGCCCTCTTGTTGGGACACTGTTCATCAGGTATGTGTAAGGTATCTCATGGTTATCATTTAAGGCTCATTGAAGCCTCCCTTGTTCCCTTATTTAAAGTTGCACATCCCCTACTCAGCCACAACTTTTACTGTATTTTGCCTCTTGGTAACATTTACCACTAGTCACAGTATTATCATTTCTTTCTGCATTGTCTGCATCCCAGCATCTAATATAGAACCTGGTATTATATGCTCAAAAAATTTTAAATCAATGCACAGAAATGACTCTGTTCTTGCATTTATTGCATTCAACCTTTTCATTTCTATGGCAAAAAAGACTTAGAAAGACATGCTTTTCAAAATTGTAGATAATTGTAGATAACATAATGTTGTGAAGTGTTTTGACTATGTTTTCATCTATGTATTTTATGGTCCCAGGCCTTATGTCCAAGGCCTTTAATCCATTTCAAGTTTTGTGAGCTAGGGTCTAGTTTTTTCCTTTTGCATATAGTTGTTTATATATTTCTGATATTTCAAAAAATTAAGATGCTACATTTTGTATATTTCAGCATATTTATCACAGATATATTGAGTTTAGTTGTCTGTTATAATTTATTATACTCATTAAAGGCTAGATAAGTTAAAATGCATAAAGCATGCATTGCTTTAGAGAATGGCTTAATAAATAAATAATAGCAAATAAATAATAGCAAATAACATGTCTGAACATTGTAATTCTCCATATCTACTTAGTCACAGATGAAATATGATGACATATTTTATAGAACATTTTAATAAAAATGCTTGCCATTTCAAAAGCCATGGTATTTGCTTGCAGTAGTTTATTCTGTAGTAGGGAAAATGCAATCTAAGTCTTATGGCAATTCCTTGGCTACTTTTTGGTTGGTTCTAATGTGGAAACAATTGAAGCAGAACTCATAGAACATACAAATATTACAGCTAAGAAAAGAGAATATTAAATTACCAAAGAAATTTGACTTTGAATTTTTTAATTTTTTTCACTGATTTATTATAAATTTTCCCCCAATTTCTTTTGAAAAATTTTAACTCAATGGAAAGATCAAAAGAATAGTAAAATGAATATTCACGTATCTTCTCCTAGATTAACTGTTAACATTTTGCCATACATGACTTACCTCCCTTTTTAACTAATAACACATTTTTAAAGATCTTAGAGCATTTTAAATTTCACACTCATTTTATTGTCTTTACCCACAAAATAGATGTATATGTCTTGTGAGGTCATGAAGTAGGCCTGTCTTGCTCAGTGCTGCATCTCTAACACCTAATATGATGTTTGGCATATAGTAGGAACTCAAAAGATACTCACCTACTGATGACCTGAGTTGTTCTTTCTATACTTGGCCCTTACTAGAAGCACAAATCAATTGAAGCTTGAAAGAAATTAAGTTGATTTGATCTTAAGGCAAACCATTCAAAAGTGTCCTCAAATTTAAGGGGAATATGTATAAATCTGCACTTTATTTCTCTCTTACTTATTAATATGCCTATATTAGGTCAGTGCTCATAAATATTCCTTGAATGATAGACCAAAGAAAATTTTGTTAGAGCATATACCATAGTCCTATCGAACTTTGGAAAATTAGCCTTAATGTGGAGAATGAGTTTATTCAGACTGAGCTAATCCATCTCAGTTGATCTGTGTTGCAAGAGTAAATCCTAGAGCTGAAATTCAGTGAAGAACAATGGACTCCAAACAGAATAAAAAGTAATATTTAAATTTCAAAATTATATTATTTACTCTTTTGTCTTTGGGATAAAGATTTTTATAATAAAAAATGTGTGGTATTTGAATGGTATTTGGAATGGTATTTGAAACAAATTGTTTCCACAGAGTAGTAGTATTTGGTAAGTTTTAAAGTGAACTTGTTAAGTTTTACAGGATTTATTCTAATGAATGCCAAGTAGTAAAAGAGAAAAAATGCCTTAAAAATTAGCAAAATAAAATGAGAATCTTCCTTGGTGAGTAGAAATTACCTTTGTTGACACATGCTCCTATGCTTATTTAGAGAAGTTGAGAATGGATGAACTATTTGCATGAAGTGCTCATTACTTTGTCCATTTTTCAAAGTGTCTGTGAATTGTGTCATTCATTCAAATTTCAGAAACATTTTCAACTTATTATTAAGAAAAATTATCCATGGGTTTCTCATATTTCTATACTTTTTTCTACCTGAGCACAGGTAACCTTTGTTTTGGATGATTGGATTAAAGGTGTTTGCTAGTGAATAGCAGAAAAAGATGGTATCTTTCTCTGCAGCAGAGGACTGGTTTGTTTGGTGTCAGTATGATAAAGGTGAGCTCTCTTGAGCAATTCTGAACAGGTTTTCTTGTGGAACAGTCTTTAATAATAAATGGTTGCTTTCTTAGGCTCAGGGATTCTCAGCTGTGATGCAAACCCATTCATTGCCTGAGTAGCATCTACCTAGACTTCCCTATGTAACCCCCAAGGGACTTGAGAGATAAGGGGAACCAACATGAACATGAACTTCAAGGTGCCAGCTGTGCTATGAGTAATAAAATTATTAGTCTCTGACCTGGAAGTCTGATATCTTCTGCTAGAGTACAGGAAAATAAGGCAGAATAGCATGTCAGCTTGCAAAGTTTTCTAAAATCCCAGAGTTAACAGTTCTAGACATTTGCAAAGAAACATCTTCTATGGGAAATGAGTTTGGAAAGCTTTTTTCTTCCAAATCAAGCCTGTTCTGGCTCAAGACCCCCGGTACAGTTCACTGCTAGATGATTGGGGTAGGGTAGAGTTGAATCTAGATGAAAAAATTCTAGGCTGAGGCAAAAATCAAGTCAACAGGATGCTCTGGTACTACCTAAGAAAAGCAGTCTAATTGTGGGTTTGGAACAGACTTGAATGAATGGAAAGATTAGGGAATGAATATCTCTAAGAGGTTAGGATAGTGCAGCTAACCACATATTCCCCACTAAAGTGGTCAAAGCAGATTGGTGGGAATAACCACTTTATTCCTTTCTGTTCTAGAGCATGTCTTTTTATTCAGATTGGGATCTTTTCCGACCTCTAAAAATGAGTCTTAGGTAAGACTTTGAATTCTTAAGTTGCCAAATCCTTACCCTAGACTGGCAAACTGTAACCATTTCCATTATTAGTGTTTAAGGGAAAGTGATGTGCTTTGCCTATTGGGGAATAATGTCTGAGGCTTGAGACTATTTTTTGGGTTGTGTTGGTTCCTGTGGACTGATTATCTAATCTCTTCTCCAAAAGACTTTCTATGGTAGAACTAGTCACCCTTTAGTATTGAAGTGAAAGTATGATACTTTGGGCCTTTAAGAGAGCGAGCTGGACAATTCGAAAAACAACAAGAAGTCGATAGTGGCTTAAATAGTAGCGAATTTCCAAATGATGTGTCATTCCGTTTTCTCAGTATAAACAGTTACAGTTCCCCTGGGAATTTAGAACTGTTGGCTGTGCTCTTTCTAAAGGGGATTGCGGTTAAAATAGCAGCAGTCAGTTCAACTGGCAAGCCAGAGGAGTGGTGGCTAAGCCTTTTTGTACTCATAAATAGACTTATAAAAATGGATTTGCCATGGGATGCAAGAGCCATGGTGTGATCACATGAAAGTTTGTAAAAAAAACTCCCTAGTTATTTCAGACTCTTAATTTTGGTTCCATTTACAGTGTCCTTCTAAATTGTTGATCAGCGATTATATCAGTATTGCCGGCAGAATCTACAAAAAAATGAAGATTTTCACTGCTTTAAGGTAAACAATTAGGAAGAGTTTATCTTAGAAGTATTTAAGGTCATCTTTGCCCTTCAGTTTGATTATTCATATCTTTAGTGGGAACATGCTTGTAAATGTTGAATTTGGAATAAAAAAAGCAAACATGGGTGCAAAAAATCTCAAGCAGAGCACAAGTCCTGGTGTCAGAGCTGAACTGTCAGGTTCAAAAAGAGAATGGAAATTTAAGGGCAAAATTTGGGGCAATCTAAGAGAACTGGTGAAATGAGATGACATCAGGAATTCTTGGCCAAACTGAATTTCAAAGGAATATCACCTGATTTGAAGTATAGAAAAGCAAACTAAGAGTTTAAATTAATCAAAGTGAGACTGGAAAAAGCAAATATGGACAGAAGGATGATTCAGGCATATTATCAGCTCAGCAAAGGCAAGATAACTCCAGCAAAACAAAACACCAGGCAATGCATGTCTGACCAGATTATTTTAGCATAGCAAATAATGTGGACTGGATGGTTCTAATAACCTGCTGAATTTTAATGCAGTTTGATTTGGAATTGGGTTGGTCTGTAACTGTCAATGTTAGGAGCAGCGAGAGAAACGATGGGGCTGTTGGCATCTTCTTCCTTTGGAGGACACAGTTGCCCTGACAGAGAGGGTTTCCCCAGGCAATCAATAGCCTCTCAATCAAATCTGGGGCAAGTAGTAGCAGGAGTAGAGTTAAAATTAATTGCAGCAATTCAGTGAGGGGATTTGTATACACAACCATTGTGAGGGGCCAGGAGGTATCAGAAGTTATGGGATGGAGGCAGGGGTAAGCATTCTTTTGTTCCTTCTTTTGCCCTTTAATCTGATTATTCATATCTTTAGTGGGGAACATGCTTCTAGATGTTGAATTTGGAATATTCATCACACACATATCCAATGTTATGATGCAGTAGGCTTGAGGCTAGCTTTTAGGAATACAAATATGATAAGATATAATCCCCACCCTCTGATAATTTAGAGTCTTGTAACTACACTAGACAAGCTGATTACAATCAAGTGTGGTAAGAACCATGCTAAAGATCACATGAGGCTCTCTAGGAGCATGTAAGGTGGTGCTGAGGTACACAGACTGAAAGATGGCTTCCTGGAGAAGGCTCTGACCAAACTGTGAAAACGGATGAGTAAGAGGTAGACAAGTAAAGCGGAAGATTCTTCTAAACTGAGGTTTGTACAAATGCTGTGACTTGAAAGAGAATGTGATTATTCGGTCACCTTGAAGATGTCGGGGTATCTGAGACTGGAGAGCAATAGGGAGCATCATGTGGGTCATGATTTCCATGCAGTGAGAGAGAAACTCAAACACTCACTTTTAGGTCTCAGACCACCTCCAGTCATGGGCAACGGTGGTTCTCTTAACTGTCGTTGGCTCTTCTCTAGGCAAGCTGAGGTCTGCTAGCATTCTCTTCTCACCATGAAATACAGTGCAAAGGACTGAAGCTCTCCAAAGATTGAAGGTAGGGAGAAGAGTATAAACAACCTCTTTGCTGAACATAGACACACAGGCTGAGATTCCAGTGTTCTTTTCCCTTGGGTTTCTAGAATGAAGTTTCAAGCCAACATGCCTCGATAAACCCATGAAGACTTTTTTGTAAGCCTTTCCCTAAGCAGAAGGATATGAACCCATATGTGTCCAAAAAATTAGCAGACACTGGGGGCAATCTTGGAGTCTTTTACTTGGGATGGGGGCCAGAGAGGGATAGTGGGGAGATGCAAGTCTAGTGCATTGTTTAGATCCTACCATCCTTGGCCTGAATTCACATCTAGCTTCTTCCATTTCGGTTTAAAGATGTTACAGAAAATGAAAATGTCATGTTTGTTTAGTAATGCTTAGATGTTATATATAATGATGGATTGTTGCTGTGAATATTTGAGTTGCTATGAATGCTTGAAAAGACAGTGTGTGTTACAGTGAAAGCACTAGAATGCTGCATTAGCCACAAGGTTCTGGTACTAGGGTGCAAGTAATGAAGCTTGCCTTGCCCACCATGAGTCTTATTTGAAAGATCAAATTCCAGAAGATATGTGAAAATGAAGTGTTACCAGGATGTTTTACAAACATAAAATGGTTATTATTTGACATGCTCTTCGTCTCGCTTTCTAAAAACAGTACTTGTGAAATGAATCTTTTAACTAGAAATAAGTTACCATGGTATCAGAGATAATTTGAATGAAACATATCAAGTAAAGGAAAAAAGAAACTGATAAAATATTGTCGTTTAGAAGTGGTTTTTAATAGTGTCTCAATGTGGTGAATAACATTTAGGGCTCCCCTATATTTCATTGCTCTATTGTAAGCTGACAGATACTTGATCCCAAGCTTTAACATATTTTGATGCAGGAACACTGAAATAGGCAGCAATTTTTTGAAAGATAATTGTTTTAAAAGAGAACTTTAGCTTTGACTGAAAGTATTGGTAATTTCTAAGAATGCGTTAAGAACGGGTGCAAATTCAGACAGGAACAGTCCAGATTAGAATTAGTGGAAGCAGTAGGAGTGCACAGAAAGAGTTCTAATAGTTCAAATGTGCAAGGGAGGTGAAACGTGAGGAAATACATGGAGGTGGAGAAAGATTTGCAAGACACTTATTATCTTTCCACAAAGGGTGGTGCTTGATTGCAAAAGGGGCACAGGTCTTCCCTGTAGCAACCATCTATATATCTGGCATTAGTATCTGCCCCAAGCTTCTCGAATGCAGTCTCCTCCCTGTATGCCAGGCTGTCACAGCCCTCCGAGGGAATCCTTTGGGAAAAGGAGCATCCTCTTCTCACAGGGAAGTAGACATTGACTTATGTCTTGGGAGGCTCCCCAAAAGGAATAATTAGGGCAGAGACCCCTCCCCTCGAGCTGATTTTCTTGTCCTTGCTAATCAAGGAGTCACGTTAATGCCTGCAGATGCAGCCTGCTCCACAGGAACTGGAGTGGAGGGTAGGGTGGGATTGATCTCCCTCTTCATACTCAAGGAAATACATTGCTTACATTCATTGGGGAGCCAATGCCTTAGATTTATCCAAAGTACTATTTCTAATAATATTTTCTTAAATATGAGATTATTCACAATGAAGTTCATAATTTCAATAAAGAAGCGGTTTCCTACATTTTATTGCACAAAACTGTATAAATGGACAGCTGTCACACTAGTGCTTAAAAATGAAAGCATAAAAATTTTAAAGTGCTTAGATGTTTAATGTGACTGAGAATTGTATCATATTGATGATGTTATTCTGATGTTTTCAAAGAAGTCTTTTTAATGAGTGCTCACAGATAATGTAATTCTATTTATGGGAGAATAAATTTAAATATACAGACAGTGATGCCCAAAATAATTTTTCAAATGAAAATTCCTAAGCACATTATGAAAATTCTCTGTTCATACATTAAGGATTAAGTTCCAGAGCTAAAACACTGAGTTCATTGTTTTTTCAAAACAATATTTAGTTTTATGAATAAAGTACAGAGTAGGGTCAGTTGCAGGAGATTACAGCAATTAAAGGTTAGTTGTTTAACAATGTAAATCATGCAACTGAGGAGTCTTAACTTTATGTTTTATTGTGTCATGAAAAGAGGTCAGAAATTTGTTGAGGATACTGCCTATGTAATTTCATACTTTGCAAATCTTGTTGTGAGGCTAGTGCGGTGATGTATATGCTGAACAGATATTTCTTGCTGGCTGGGTGTGGTGAGATTAATACCTGCAGAGTAACTGGTTTTTTCTGTCTGCTCAGAGACTTGTGTCTGCCTGTTTCTGGAAGGGTGAGCCTGAAACACGCAGAGTCTGGGCGTTCCTTCCTGGTGTAGAGTGGTTTTAAAAAGGTTAATCTGACTTTAAGCATATATAAAGTGGAAAAAAAAATGGCACAATCCTGGAAGACTGTGATATGCATAGGCTTTTAAGTACATGCTAAGAAGGGGCTGGACCTGACTGGTTTATCATATACAATTGTTAACTTTGAGATCCTTTCAACACTTGTAGAACCAGAGACTGTACCTTGTAGAGTTTCGTTTTTTAAAAAGATATTTTGAGTGAATCCTTAATATTTAAAGTATAATATATATCATGAAAAGTGCACAAATTAAAAGGGTGTCATCATTTATTAAGATGGATTCTGAGGTCATTGAATTGGAGCTTGTGGTTGTCCTAATATCAACATTATCTAAATTTCACTCTAAGTACAGTTTCACTTGTATGTCACATTTCTTTTTTTAAATTTTCAAACTTCTTTTGAGATTTTTACAGCATTAGTACAAATATGCAAGGGGAACATTTTCTATAGAGTCACATTTTCCAAATTGCATGTCACATTTTGACATGTTCTGTTTTATGCTATAAAATATTTTATAAATATAAATATAAAATATTTTTATAAACCTTTTTTCTCCTTTCTTAATTATTGATTTTACATTATTTTATAATATTTTCTAGTGGCTACCACTGACATTACAACATACACTATACTTTTGCCTTTTTCTTATATTTTCATGAATATGTATATTTTAGTCTCCCTCCAAGTAATATTATTGTTTCCTGCTATTACAATTACTTATAGTTTTTTTCTATTGCTTTTCATTCTGTGTCACCTTTCTGTGTTTCTACTTGGTATTTTTTTTTTCCATTTGAAGAACTATCTTTAATATTTCTTTTAATGCTGGTCTGCTAATAATGAATTCTCTGTTTTTGTTTGTTTTAAAATGTTTTTATTTCTTCTTCACTTTAAGTTTTACTGAGGTACAATTTATATAGCACAAAACTCACCCCCTTATTTATTTTATTTTTCCTCTCCTTCACTTTAAAAAAAAAGTTATCCCAGAATATACAACATAAAATTTACCGTCTCAGTAATTTAAAAGTGTATAGTTCAGTTGTGTTAAAGTATATTCAGTTATTGTGCAGCCAGTTTCTATAGCTTTTTATTTGTGTAAAATGTCTTCTCTTTTGATGTTTATTTTCTTGGGATATAGAAATATAGCTTACAATTGT